GAAGCAACGAAGGATGCCCGACCCCCTGATGAAGTTATCCGAGCCCCGACGTCGGTGAACAAAGATGGCGGGCAGAATTTCGTGTTGAAGTCTAGTGACTCTTCACGGCCTCTGTCACACGGTGGTGGTGAGAAGATATCTCCTGGATCACCCACCCCAGAGAAGGTTTCATCAGTATCGGACAATTGTAATAAAGAATGGATTATGGAGAGGTGCTCCCAGAGTACACAGAGGAGAAGACAATGCGTGAATGAGTTCTCGGAGATTACCCCGTCAAGTGTGCCTCCAAAGACTTTGAACTTTTGTTCATACTTAAAATCTGAAGATTTTTCGAACACGTCTCCCTACACATTACCCAATTACACTTACATCCGCTGTGTGGGCGACCAGGATGTTGAAAGTAGGTTGTCAAGTTATGGCGTAGACTGGTTGGGCCCTTGTGTGAGCTCGTGTGTTGACAGCTGCTGCAGCCGACATCCTGGTGGTGCAACTTCCAAGCCTCCATTTCCCAGAACAGGCCCACAGGCGTGCCTGCAGCGTGTGACTCCGGTCAGAAAACTCAGACACTTGGGTGTCCATTTCCCAACAAGTTGCTTATCCCCGTGGACTAGACAGCCGCCATCATGGGTTGACGTCAGAAGAGAGCGTGTCTCATGTAAGTTTGTATGTACTCTTTACAAAAAACGCTTTCTTAACAAAAGTAACTCACCAGCTTAACTCAAAGTGCGATATACTCTTAGCATCTGTAAAAGGAATTATGTGGTATAAACTGGAGTGTAGCCAATGACTAAAACTTGTAATTTTGTCAGAGGCTTGTGCTAAGCCTTCTTTACCCAAAGTCCGACTCGATGACTAAACACTGTTCAGCATCTCAAAGTCTAACTCCGCAAACAACTTTCAGTAATATGTTGGCTTTTCACTCAGTAGAGTTGACCTTTTTTTTTTTTTTACTGGAGTTGGAGTTAGATTATCGTGATTCCGATTCCTTAAAACCGATTACATAGTATGCTCGACTAATGCAATAGTAAAAACTAGTTAATTTATTTTTTAAATAGACATTGAAGGGAGAAAATATGTTGTTGTTGTTTTTACAAATTAGAGATTCCTGAAAACAAGTAAAACAAATTCAATTAAAGTTTTATTTTATCTAGCGATTTTTTCAATGAAATATTTCCATTTATTTTCATATGATTTGTAAGCTACGTCTGGGTAAATAAGTTAATTTATTAGTCATGAGAAAAACCAACCATTAAGTGAGGAATTTGTAACGGTCGTTAGACTTGTCTTCACGTCTTTATTAAATCGCCAAGAACAATCAAACAAACAATCAAGATTCATGGAAGTTAATTCTGTATCAGATGGATGACTTTATTTAAATTCATGAATCTTGACTGAATAACATGTCGTATGATCAAGTCGAGGAGTTTTAGCTTTTATTTTTGTGCTAACGTTATTAATTTTAAAAAAACTAATTCCCCCACCCCTGTCACCCATCCCCCCCCCCCCAATCATTTCTCCATCAGTAGTTCTGCGGGGTCCGATGTTTGAGAAAAGTCAACCCAAGAGAAAGAAGCCCCGCACATCGTTCACGAGACTGCAGATTGTCGAACTTGAGAAACGATTTCACCGGTGAGTTGGACCTTGAACTTTCACCTGCAGTCATAGTTTTTTTTTAAATCTCAAACCCATTTCCTGACATCTGTCAGTTTTTATCTTAGAACCATTTTTTAACAACATGTTTTCCATAAGTTTCAGAAAGTTGAAATGTTGACAGCCATTTGATCTCGTCCAGGAGTTACTTCTGTCACACGTGACACAGATAACTCAAGTAATACACACGGGACATAGATAACTCAAGTAACACACCTGACACNTGGCCCAAAAAACCCCCCCCCCCCCCCCCCCCCCCCAAAAAAAAATTAAGAAGAAAGAAATAACTAAAGAAATAAACAAAATTAAAACCAAATTTTAAAACAGAATTTCTTTCAAAGACGAGTTTAGAAGCACTAAAAGGTTAAATATAATTTTATTGAAATGCTTTGCTCAAATAAAGACGATGCAGTAGTGTAGATTAGAACACTACGTACTCAAACTTCAATTCAATGCAGTCCTGACTTTATATGTTTTAAATTTTTAATTAATTTTTTAAAAATATAATGTAACATTATTTTCTAAATTTTAATGCATTTAAACTCGTCTTTGACCAACAGTCTTTTTTTTATTTGTGACTTTTTAGTATTAAAATGGTAATCTGTTTAATGTCAACCTTTCAACAGTCATCACAACACATACTCGGTATCAACCACGTAGTTCAACCATAGCGAAGTGCATTGTATGATTTCCTTATCACTCGCCACCCCATCTCCCTCTTCCGACCCAACCGACCGCGGCAGGTGTCCAATTGGATGCCCAGCCCCTAACCCCTTTCCAGCCATTATACCCCTACCACCATTCCCCTACCATCATTCCCCTACCATCATTCCCCTACCATCATTCCCCTACCATCAATCCCCAATAATCATTCCCCTACCACAATTCCCCTACCATCATTCCTCTACCACCATTCCCCTACCATCATTCCCCTACCATCATTCCCCTACCACCATTCCCCTACCACCATTCCCCCACCACCATTCCCCCACCACCATTCCCCTACCCCCATTCCCCCACC